AAAAAAAAAAAGTAGTTTACAAAGTGTAGACCAACACAGCAGAAGAATGTAATTTAAAATGGAGTCCTTCTCTTCCTTACTTTCCAGCTAGATTGACCAAAAAATAAACTGAAGCTGAATCATCAATCTGACTGCAGACCCGCCATGTCCTGATCATATTTCTGAAACCATTACACCCCGCATCACCCTTACAGAACTACAGTTTTCTAAACAAATGGACAAAGAAAAGGAAACTGCCCTTACAATTTCCACAGGGTTTTTAATTTTTTCTTTTTATTTCTTGATATCTTAGAGAAATTTTTAAGCCTAAACAAGCCAACACATGGATCTAACCTCTGCTACATCAAGTATGTTTTACCAAAGAAGTTACCATCTCACAATGAAGACTGTAAATGGATAAATCTTGACAGAACAGATTAAACCCAGTTACTTTATTGTGCACATAGTTTAAGTTCCATCTAGAAGCTACTTGTCCCAAAGAGAAAGTCATTGTCCTACATGATCATTTCCATTCAGTGAATAGTACAGTTTCTAAAAAAAACCCACTCCAATTTCAATAGCATATACTATTAAAAAGAAGAAAAAAATCAGAAACCAGAGGCTGTACCTTACCTGGTCTGCCTGTTCATAGACCTCCTCCCTGTTGCTGCAGTCACAGTGGTAGGCAAACACACGCGTAGCTCCATTTTGTTGGGCTAATCTGCTTGTTTCCATGTTACCTTCATCATCAATGTCCCAAAGAACCAAGGTTGCTCCCAAAGGAGCAAAACGTAAGGCAATCTGCCTTCCAATCCCATTTGCGGAGCCAGTAATAAGCACTATTTCCCCAGCGACAGATTTTTTACATCGAGGAAATAGGAATAAGATTAAATTCTCAAAAAAAATATTAAAAAATAATTTCAGTAACTGCAGTATCTTCAGGATGCTTCTGAAGTTGAACATGATTTGATTTTTCCAGGCAGAAACACTGTCTTTCTGTTATACAAACGCAGAAACACAATACGTTACTGGCCCTTCAAAACACGGAGCTATGGACTAAAAACCAAGAAACTGACTTTCAAACAGCTATTTCATCCACATTGTTCTCTTGTGCAGGTAGAAAACACGTTACCAAAGACTCGTTTTGTGAAAGCTGCTGGCTTCTGACTAGGATTAAAGGATCTTCGGCTAGATCCTACGTACCCGCTGTTTGGCTCCAGCTTCCATCCCCGTTTTTAGACAGGTTGAGTAAGATGCATTTTATACGTGTTGCTGTAGGGTACTTTGTTTCCATAGCAAGGTGATATTAGCCGAATAAAAAGATATGGAAAACACTGGTGTGATATCAACCTTGGGAAGGAAGGTGTCCTTAGCAGGTAATGGGACCTGCTGTTTCCCAAAGCGGGCGATGGGAACCTCCTCGCCCCCCTGTGCGTTTCCCAGTGCCGTACAGCCCAAAGTCCGCAACGTATTCTCGTCTGAGCAAGTCACAGGGACAAGCGTGGCCCTGTGAGTTACCAGCCGTGGTTT